CTGCCACGCTTTTCCTCTTGAGTGTGTACGATTGTTCACATTTAGACTTAGATGTTGCATCTTCAAAGTGTTTTGTTAACCTTCGCACGTTAAACACTTCACCGTGTACTTTCTGCTTCCCGACTGCCCTGTTCAGCAGCTCCCTCCGACAGCGGCGCTGGGTGAGCAGGTCCCTGGAGGGGTGGTGGGGTCTCACGTTGTTCCACGAACAGCCGCCCCTGGTAGAACAGTAACTCCGTAACTCCGCTCCTGTCCAGTGATACATAAAACAACAAAAGAATGGAACATTGTGATAATATCTTAACCCCAGTTACCTGTTGAATAATGCAAGTTTGAACTTCATGCCTTCCCAGGAATTTTAATAATGCATTCCAAACAGCCTGTTATTGTTGAATGGTTTTGCTGGGTTTTTTTTTTTTTTTTTTCTTTTTGGTTTGACTCCAGATTACTCTGGTTCTCTCTATTTCAGTGCCCCTTTCCCTGCAATTTCCATTTGAGGCTTCCTCGCAGCGTAAACAACACAGATGAGGCCGCCCAAACGCAGCTCGCACCGCGTGTGGAGGAGCTGTGGCGCTGTAGGCCGTTTATTTCACTTTGTTTTCCTGGCTTAAACGCTAACACCTTTGTCACTGATGTTTTTTATCATGTCAGTAATAATCTGTTCATAGTGCAGACCAAAATAAATTCTGCTGTAATTTGTTTCACATATTTAACCTTTTGCTTGTGCTTTGTTGGGCCAAGCTTTTTACATTTAAAAAAGAAAGTTTTGTATGTCCTCCCTAAGCCCCAGAGCCCCATGCTAGTTACGAGGAAAACGTGGGGCATTCCAGCTGAGGGGTGCCCTCTGAGGCACCTGCCCGGCCCTCCACCAGAACAAGGAAGGTCCGGGCCTCTGTTAATAACTCGTCCGTGACCATTTTGTCAGTTCACTGGTTGCAGCAAATGTGCCTGACCACATGGGGCGGTGGTGGAGCCCCGGCTCTCGCGGTCGGGGCTGGTGGGTGCTCGGGAGGGAGCCCGGGGAGCCCCACCCCCACGCGCCCGCACTGCCCAGCTCCCCGGCAGTCCCGCTGGTGGGAGGTCGCAGGTGCGAGCAGGGGGGCCCTGGGAGGACGGGGCAGGAGGGGGCGGAATTCCGAGCCAGGGCAGACGGGACCTTGGGAGGAGCTCCACACACCGCCCCCCTCCCCGAACCACCAGCAGAGCACAGCGCCTGACCAGCCCTAACGCAGCAGCGGTTGGCAACTCGGGCTGAGACAGACAGAGGGACAGAAGAATTCCCGGTCACTTCTGCAGCTGCCCGCCCGAAGGGAGGTGGAGCCTGGCCCCCAACCCTGTAGGTGTGGGGACTGCAGTGTGGAAGGAAGGGAAGGAGTACAGCGGAGAGGCCTGGCAGCTTCTTACCTGAGCCAGGTGATCCTGGGATGGGTCACGAGCACAGCAGGCACCCTTGATGTGGCGAGTGAGGGGACCTGCTAGCTCAGGGTCTCCCTCCCAGAACACAGCCCCAAGACTGCGATGATGAGAAAACCATCGCGCAAATCTCAACAGCCATTCCACGGAACACCTGCCCCGCACCCCTCTGAACTGTCAAGGTCACCGAACACAAGGTCTCACACACTCGACAGTCTGAGGCTGCTGAGGAGCCCGATGACCGAGTGCCCTTCCGGTGTGAGGTCCCGGGTCAGGGGAGCGGAGGGAGTCCAGTGGAGCGTGAACTTCACCGGTAACGGGGCGGTGCTGGTCCGTCGGCTGCGACGGTGCACCCCAGTAACAGACGTCAGGAAGCCTGATATGAGGTGTACCCGGAACTGAGCCATCAACCATGGCTTTTCTGTAAACCTGTTTAAAATAAAATGTTTATTTAGCCCCGGGCGGTGTGGCTCAGTGGGTTGAACACCAGCCTATGAACCAAAGGGTTCCCTGTTCGATTCCCAGTCAGGGCTCAGGCCCAGGTTGTGGCCAGGTCCCCAGTAGGGGGCGCGAGAGAGGCAACCACACATTCTTGTTTCTCTCCCTCTTTTTCTCCCTCCCTTTCCCTCTGTGTAAAAATAAATACATAAAATCTTCTTTAAAAGTGCCTAAAAAATAAAATGTTTATTTAAATATTTTTAAAAGGTCAACAGAGGAATTAAGATGACACGAAGGGTTTTAAAAAATTAGAAGTTTGAGTGTTTCTTTTCATGGTAAAATTTTAAGATTTCATTTCAGGTATCCGTATCACGATACTATCATCTATAACATGTGCTCCTTTTATGAAAAGGTTTAATTTAATCGATAAGCAAAATCTCTTGTGAGGGTCCCTTCCTGGGAGGTGGATTATTACGCTTTATTGTAGTTTCCCTCTTGATTTCGTCCGTTTGAACTTCGGGATGTGGCCGGCGATGCGTCACTCACGTGTTAGTTCAGGCGCGCTTGACTGCGGTGACCCTCTTGACCTCGTGTCTGCGCACACCCCCCGGTCAGTGGGCTACGGGGACGCTGCCCCTTTCACGGTCTGCCCTCCTTGGCGCTGTGGGGCCAGTGACGGCCGGGCCGGGCCAGAGGCACGTGCGCCCTGTGAGGGGAGCGCCCTGGGGTTCCGTCCTTCCCCACGCGCCTCTGAGTCCCGGGACGTGACCGTTCTGGGGACGTGGATGTGGAAGCCCCCGGACAGACGTGCACGTCACAAGGGCTGTCCCTTCTCCGGCTGCCGCTGTCGTTTGCCCCGAGTGCCCGCCTGTCCCGGGTCGTGCTCGCGGTGCCGCCGTGGGGACAGCCCCAGGTCTGTCCCGCCGGGGCAGCGGCGGGGACTCCAGCCTCTAGCACGGTGGCGGTGCCAGAAGCAGGGGCTGGCGGGCGCCAGCCCGCGTCCACACTCTGGTTTCGTCATCTCCGCCCGGGCATTCCTCGGCAGCCGGCCTTGTGGGCACAGGGCAGAAATGCCAGAGGTAACGCTCCGGGGTGAACCCCCCTCCCCGAAGAAGGCAGAGTCGGGGGGGCTGTGGTGAGACAGTCTGGGCCTGTGCCCATCTCACAGCCTCGACCCACGAGGCACGGAGCTGTCACCTGCCTGCCGACACGCCCCATCTTGACTTGTTCCTTCCCTGGCTCTCCCCCCTCGCCTCGGCCGGCTCTGGGAGGACCCACCCTGGAGGACCCACACTGAGACCCTGTGCAATGCACGGTTATTGAGGGAATGAATTCACGTCCTAGACGAGTGAGATCCTGGTCGTTGGAGGCGTGCCCAGGGAAGACAAGAACCCGAGCGCTTCCAGGCCACTACAGATGGGACAGAAAGTGACGGCCGAAGAGAAATACAGACGGGCTGCCGTCTGCACCCACAGGAGGGGTCGTCGTCCAGCCCCTTCCTCACCCTTCGTGGCTCAGGGGTGGTGGCCGCCCGTGGGAGGGACTCTGTGTGACCCAGCACCACCTTGGTCCCATCGCTCACCGCCGGGCGCCCTCATTCTCGGCCAGCATGTGAGTGTGCAGGGCAGGGGCCACGGCTGTCATGTCGGCCTTTGTTCGCCACACCGGAGACAGTGCCCGGCAGCCGGCAGCACCCTACAGTGTCCACCGGCCCTGTGGGGTCGTGAGCAGGTGAGGCAGCAGTCTCGGGGGAGCCCCGGCCTCAGACCGGCTGGAACCCCCAGTTCCCGCTTCCCGCCTGTGGAGGTGGGCAGTTACCGAGCTCCCACGAGCCTCGGTGTGCCCCTGTGCACGGGAAGAAAGCAGGGTGCGCCCCGCCAGGTCGTTGGACGGATTCAGGTGATTTAATAACGCGGCACCTGGTCTTCCGGCATGGAGGTGCCCCTTCCCCAGTGGGCACTGGGGGGACGGGGGGTGAGAGGCTGGGCTGGAGTTGGACGGGAAAAGGTGAGCGAGGGTGTGTCAACTAAAGCGGGATGAGCGAATCCGAGAGGGAAGCCGGAGCCTGGGGGCTCCTGAGCCCGGACCAGCACATCAGACCCGATTCCGGAGCACGAGGGGAGACCCCAGAGGAGGGCACTGTCGGGGGCTGATGGGGAGGGCGGGCTGTGGACGACGGGGCCCTGTGGGGAGGTCAGGATTGGAGCAGGTCGGGAGAGCGTCGCGTAGTTGACCGTGGCATCAGCAGGGCAGCCAGCCCGCGCTGCCTGCCGCGGCAGGAGACCTGAACTCAGAGGGTCTTCTGGGCCTGGCATGCTGCTCCACCAACTCCTCTGCTGCGTGCTGTGCACAGTCGTCCGTCCTCCTGGGTGGTCCAGCCCCCACTGTCCCGAGCGGTGCGGGCTCAGAGGCCTGGTCAGAGTCTCTCGGAGACGGCAGTGTACGCCGAGCCGTGGACACAGGTCGGGGGTTAGGTCGCTGCAGGCCAGCAGGAGGGCTGTCGTCCCCGCGAGGAGCACCCCGTTGGAATCGAGAGGCGTCTGGGTTCCAGTCCTGGCTGCACAGCATCCCAGTCACGTCCCGGAGCCGAGGCCCAGAGGCGGAGGGGCTCACTAGGCCAGGGAGCAGTGGGCAGAGCGGTCCGGGCCGCGGCCTTGCAGTCCGGGCCCTGGGGAGGGGGCGTGCAAGCTCTTGGCAGGGACTGGGAGAGGGCAGGGTGGCTGGTGGAGCGAGTTCCCACTGCTCGCTGCTGGCGTACAGAGACACGGTGGCATGCTTTTTGTCTTGTATTAACCTTGCCCTCTGGGAGGTTGCTAAACTTTCTCTTTTAAAGATCTGGAAACTCTTCTATAGATTCTTCGGTATTTTCTAGTTAGAAAACCAGCGAGTCTTCAAATAAGGGCAGTTTTGCTTTTTCCTTCTCAATGCGCACGCCTGGTTTTTCCCCGCCTTGCTGTCCCCGTGAGGACCTCCAGGGCGGCGCCGCGTCCGAGCGAGGGAGCGCGTCCGCGTCACCTTCCCTCTGGCACGGGGACACGGGCCCGTCTCCCGGGAGGTCTGCCAGCAGCAGGTTTTCCGCACGCACTCCTGGTCCCGCGGGGGGCGTTCTTGGCTGTCACTGAGAGCTGCCCTTTTCTCTTCCTTCCCAGCAGAAGACTCAGAAAGTGGCGTTTACATGCGGTTCATGAGGTCACACAAGTGTTACGACATCGTTCCCACCAGTTCCAAGCTCGTGGTCTTCGACACCACGTTGCAGGTGAGTGGCCCAGTGCTGGGGAATGGTCGGCACACTGTTCGGGCGGCTGCCGGACGAGGTCGTCGCCATCTGAGAGTCCCAGCGGGCGCGCCCTGGGTCCTCTCCGGATGTCGGGCTCCACGCCACGGCTCGGTCTGGGTTTGTCATCGTCCAGGTGGCCTTGTGGGCATGTGTCCTGACCCCCTCTGTGTACGGATAGGGAACCTCACGTTCTAGACTTAAAGAACCTGAGTCGCAAAGCTGACCCCGCAGACCCTGGAACAGAGGGGCTGGGGCCGCGGAGCCAGCGCGTGACGGCACCCGGCGCCCAGTGCGGGGGCATCGGCCCCCGCGGCCCACGTGATATGGCTGCCCCCTCCGCACGCCGTGAGGGGCTTCTCATTTAATAGAACAGCTGGTGAATTCATTTGAAATGACACTGGTTGGACAGGGAAAACCACTACGGTGGAGGATCACCTGCCTGTGATCGCAGAAGGTTTGAACCCGACCGTCCGGTACGAAGACTGTGCTCATGGCAGCTGATTTTCCACCAGTGTGGCTTGCAGCTCTGCACGGAAAGCCCTAGGTAATGCATTCAGGTGATGCCAGGTGTCACCTGTGCGCACACGCGTGTGTTTAGTGTCTGTGTGACACATACACCTTTGCGGAGCAGGGCTGCCTTGTCGTGGCCACCGACCGGCAGTGACCTCGGAACACTGCGGATGGCTCGTCGAAACTCGAGACAAACACACACAGAGACAACCAGGTCCTGTGGGGAAGTAGGGACAGAACGGCCACTCTCTCTAGGGGAGAGTGCCTCACTCCCCTGCCCGAGCAGGCTTTTATTGGGTTCCTTTGCAGAAGAATTCAGGTAAAGCTCATTAAACATTGCCGGGAAGTAAGGATCAAACAATAGATAACAAGGAAGTCTGAGGGCCTATTTTGAGTCAGGGTCAGATAGCTAAAGAGCTGTGAAACTTTGAGGAACAAACTTACTTCTTGCTGGGACCCTTATCATTTCACTGAGAGCATCTAAACAAAGCAGGTTCCACAGGATCTTACACATTCTTTCTTAGGCCTGATCACCCGGGGAACCCGCCCTTTCCAGCACAGGGCTGCACCACCCTCTGTCATTGTTTCAGGTTTAAGTCAGGCAAGGGAAGTAAGGCAACCAGGAGATAAGGAGATTTTCTAGCAGACAGAATGAGGACTCAGGCTATGTCAAAGCTGAGGGGCGAGGGTCCATCACCTCCTTTTGCCGCAGCCCCCAAAGTCCTTCCTTGGGGGCCTCCCACGTGATCGTGCCTGTCTTAGATCATTCCCCCCTTGGGGAATCTTACCTGTCTTTGGCTAACCGACCAAGCCTTGGGGGCCAGGCAGGGTGAAGTAAAAGGGGCAGAAGGGACTGCTTCCAGGGAGATAAACTTTTGTCTCCTTGCTGGCTTACGGTCCAAGGTCGCTCACCTAGCCTTAGCCTTGGTGGGGGTCACAGCTTCTGAAACCAGGCAGGGCGGTTCCCAACACTGCCTGCAGTCGTGTCCCCGGGTCCCTTTCATCTTCTACTTGGGTTTGGTTCGCATGGGACAATACAGTGGATTTTGGCAAATTGCCCTTTTTTCTCATTTTACGACTTTGTTAAATTCATTTCGGTCCAGGTCCCTCTAAAACCCGAGGATTCTCTGGTTCTTTGATGCAAAAGTCAGGGAAGCTTCCAAATACAATGTTACAGCAGAGAAAGGGACAGCCGGTCACTTTCCGATAAGGAACACGGTCTCTGCCACTGTCATGACAACTAGAAATCCTGAATTCCCACGGACAACCGCCGGGCCAGCCCATCTCCCGCCGGCGGCCACCCCCAGAGGGCTCCCTCTCCCAGGACCCAGGTGTCCTGACTGCCGGCTGCCCGCCGCCAGGAGAGCGGCAGCTGCCACGGCCTGTCTCTGCCCTCCCGCAGCTCCGCCCTCGCCAGGAAGGTGACTTTCCTCCGAATTCAGAATGCAGCCAAAGCGAGTGACCCGTGGAAAACGCGGGGCCGGCCTGCTGGGGGACTGGAGGACCGGAGGACCGTCTGTAAAGCAGGCCCGGCTGCCGCTTGTTGGTCAGCGGCTCACAAGGATCCTCTCCCCCCCACCCCCCCACCCCCCCACCCCCGCTGTGGGCTGTGGGTGTGGACAGGGGACAGGAGGGGCCATAGCTGGTGCCAGTGGCAGGAGCGGGAGGCATTGCTGGGGCATCGTCCTCACTCTCTAGACCTGGCCAGCTCTGTCCCCTGCACCTTGGGCAGCCGACGGTGGCCGGCTGTGGAGCACAGCCCAGCGTGTGGCTGGACAGGTCAGATGACCCCCGTTTACGGGGGCACTCAGGCTGCACGGACACATGGCTTCTCCTCGTTAGCGTCCCGTCTCTACCAGGGCCCGGTGGGAAGCGGGGAACCCGAAGGGGCCTCCCCGGGCAGCCCCGGCCGTGACTCTGCTGGCCGTGGGCCGCGTGCACCAGGAGCCTGCCCTTGCTGCCGAGAATGAGCTTGCTCTGGTCCCCGCCGAGAACAGCTTTTCTGGGTCACTCAGTACACGTGTCAGAGTGATAGCTCAGAGCAGAGCGTGCTGCTTCCAGGAGACCGACCGAGTGGTGTGCGGCCGCACAATGGTGTGGGGCGTGCACAGAGCAGCCGCTGGGACCTCCCTGGGAGGGGTGTCTGACACGCCAGCCAGTGCCCCCACCGACCCCACAGCCTCACCCTGTAGCTGGCAGGTGCCTCCTGAGGCATCGGAAGTGTTGCTGCTCCCTGACGGCCAGACCCGGTGAGCAGTGTCACCGACAGTGGCCAGTGTGGCGGGCGGCCTGTCGGGACGGGCAGCACTGTGCAGGCGCAGTTCAGGCAGAGAGCACCCGGGGTGCTGGGCCCGGGGCACGTTGGTGACTGAGCCGAGCCGGATCCAGGCAGACCACCCGGGCCCGGGACGGACGGGCGTGTCCTGGCGACGGCGCCAGTGCCACCACACCCCATCCGGGTGCCACTGCAGTTAATCTGGGTGCCACTGCAGTTAGTCCCTACCGCACTCAGGAAGACGCGGTCACAGAGCAGTTTAACTGGGGCTGGGGAGGCGGGTGTGACATTTCCCACCCCCGCAGGGCGGGGTGCCCCCGAGAGTGAGTGGGAACTCCACAAGGGACATCATTCTGTCCGCCACCCCCGTAAGGTTATTCAGTTACTAATAGCAGTATAGATGTATGGGGAGAAGAGATACAGCGCATTGGGTTATAACTTAGTGCTACTTTATTTTGTTGCTCAAATTATTCCAATCAACGTGACTGCTAATTATGCCAACCAAGGAGAAAAGAGGCAGTTCCCCAAAGAAGTGGCTGTTTGCCAAGCACACGCGTTCACAAGAACGCGTAGGAAACGTAGAAGGAAGACCATAGAGTCAAAAGTGAGCTCAAAAACATAAAAAAAAAGTGAGCTCAGAGAAGGGATGGCTGGGCGGGGCTGCGTGGGTGATCTCCACTGGGATTGGATAAGATCCACTTGGGGGCGGGGCTTGCTTATGTTAAAAGCCGGGAGGATAGAGAGAGCCAGGCCTGCTGCTCCAGATTCTGGCTGCAGGTGCCAAAGAGGAGGAAGGGACACTCTTCAGCTCATGGTGTACTTTCTCATCCTGGAGGTGAAGGACCTCCCGCGTGGGGAGAGGGCAGCAAATGGTGATTAGAGGACACTGAAGTCCAGGACAGGTGTGGAGATTTTAGGAGGGGGCATTAAACCAGGTTCAAATGAGTCATGTCCGAGTATAATGAGGGGGGACTACCGGGCCCGTGTGACGTCGGGATTGCGGACGGTGAGACGGTCTGGTCCCGAGGCAGCAGGTGGGGGAGGCGGCCGAGGTGCTTGAATGAACGATTAACCAAAAAACAGAAGAAGTGGTCACCTCCAGGAGCCTATTGTGAACTGACCGAAAGTAAAAGCCACAGGAGGTGAACCTCTCCTGTCTGGGTTTCAGCCAGACGGTTGATGGAGCCCCGCGTGGTGTCCCCACGGGCACGAGGCAGAGTGTGGGGCCCAGTGGGTGAGCGGGCGGCTCGCCTGGACCCGAGGAGAATGTGGGTTACGTCTCTGTCAGCTGGAGCCAGGCTGCTGGTCGCGGCGGCTGCCTCCCGGGGGCCATTTCACGCCACCTGTTCCTCCAGCCGCCGCCCGCCTCAGCCCAGCACGGGGGCCTCCGGCTTACTTGACCCCAGCGCAGGACCCAAGAGTCGGCTGGGGCTGTAGGGATCGCGCTGGGGCTGGTTTTGCGGGGGCTTAGATCCCATTCCCAAGAGCCCGGCCCTGCTTTACACAGTGGAGAGCCGTGCAGACGTGAATCCTTTGGACGAGCCCTGACGTCGGAATTTAGTGAGAAACCAAATCAGACAACTTGAAAGAGCTTTTAGCCGTTCATCAGCATGAGTTGTAGAAGCCCTGCGATCACCCTGGCCGGTGTGGCTCAGTGGATTGAGCGCTGGCCTGCAGACCAAGGGGTTGCAGGTTCGATCCCCAGTCAGGGCACATGCCTGGGTTGCGGGCCGGGTCCCCTGTTGGGGGCATGCGAGAGGCAACTGATCCATGTTTTTCTTGCACATCGATGTTTCTCTCCATCTCTTTCCCCTCTCTCTAAAAACGAATACACAAAATCTGTTTTAAAATAACTTTTCAAAAACCTCACAATCGGTTGAATTACTGAAAAGCAGGGTGAAACCATGTGAAAAGCATCAGCGGAACCAGATTCCCGTTTCCTGGGACGCGGTGTGCTGCCGGGCGCTCGGCTGTCAGGACGCCTCGCACGGCGGGGGCCCCGCTTGATCTGTCTGTGCCCCAGGTGTCCATTTTATCTGACCGTCCCCTTTGGTTGTCTGGCGCCCCCATTAAGGAGTACATTTGAAAATCGGTAACAGTCTCAGCAAATTGCACATCCGCAGAAGAGAAACAACTTTTCCGCCGTCCTCGAGACTTTTCTCCTGGTCAGAGCGAGGCCGTTCTTGTCCCTTTTCTGTCCTTTTGTCGGTGAGTCAGTAACGCCCTGTGCCCTCCAGCACCATGAAGAACTCTGTGACCACACTGTTCAGTGGGCCCTGGAGCAACCCCACGCACACGTTTAAAAGCCAGAGGAGGCCCCGTGATCGCCAAGAAGGGCAGCCACGCCGCAGGAGCAGCGGGCACGCCGCCGAGCCAGGGCGTTCCGGACGCCTGTGGTGAAGACGGTGTGACTGTGTCTTGGCCACCATAGAACATTCCGTGAGGTCTTCGGAGCACGGAACCGCCACTCCTTCCGCGGTGGGTGGGCGCGTCACCTCAGCGGTGCGTGGCGGAGAAATGAAAGCCGTGAATTTTCCTCTGCCTGCCTCCAGTCGGGTCAGCACCGTGGGAAATTAAAACATTTATTCTTTTTGGCTGTACGTGTGGTACCAGGCTGAACGCCTTCACCTCCAGGCCCAGCGAGTCCCGCGGCGTCCAGGCCCGGAGAGAGAGGGCTGGGGCCCGGGCCGAGGTGTGTCACTTCGCCCCAGGCACCTCCTTGGCCTTCGCTCGTCCTGCCTCTCCTGCCCGAGTGGAGCGAGGGTACGTCTCCCAGTGAATTCTGACCGCCCTCTGCCGCTGGGGGCTGCTCCCTGGGGCGTTTCTGCCTCCCCGCCCTTGACCTGCGCAGCGTCAGCAGTGCCAGTCTGCTCAGAAGTGACTGGTGGGTGAGCCTGCCCGGCCGGTTCCCGACGTCCGCGTGTGTGTGTGTGTGCACGCGCCCCCCCCTCGGTTAGAGCGCCCCCCCCCGCGGCTCCTGCACCCGGCCGGCTGTGGGGCTCGCGACGCGGCAGCAGCGAGCGGCTGCGTGGAGCTTTCACGCAGCCGATGAGTCCGAGACGCGCTCGTGGGGAGGCAGGGCTTTCTTGTTTCTTCTGGTTCTGAAAGGACAGTCATCATATTTCAGTGTGAAAATCGGTCCCTGTCCTTCTGAGGGCGGCTCCTGGGAAAGTCAGTGTCTTTTTCCCTCTGGCGGACGGTCTCTTTGCCTCTGATTCTTAGCGTCTTGTCTGGGGTGTGCTAAGGTGTGGTTTTCTCCGTTCTTGTCCTGCCTGGGATTTGACTCCTTTGGACAGATGGCGGATCCCTGTTGAGGCTCAGCCACCGGAAGGCGACCTGGAGAGTGTGCCCGCAGACCAGTCCCGCAGCACCTGCGGAGCTCCAGCCACTATTTGCTTTCCTCTCAAGAACCACAGCGCCCTCCCCACCCCCACCCCCTCCCCGCCGATCTGGCCCGGCCCGGTCCGTGCACACCAGGGCTTTCAGATGGCGGTGCGTTTGGCCCACCTTGTACTGTTGATTTCATCGTGGCCAAACTCAGCTCTCAGAGTGGAAGGCCTTTCGACAGCTCCGGGCACTGCGACTCTGATGGGTGATCCTATGAGTGATAATGCTGGTTTCCTCTGCTGGTTTTCTGAACCCGCTCCCGCCAGTTCAGAAAAACCAGCTCAGCAGATCACTTCATCTGTGTTAAAATCTGCGTATTTGTGACTCCTCTCCCCCAGTCTTTTTCTGATGCTTCCAGGGCCACACCCGAGGTTCTCAGAGTAGCCTCCAGGTCAGAGGAGCCCGTTCAAACTGGCCCGCCGTCCCCGGGTGCCGTGACTACTAGTCACACAAACGGTGTGGATGTTTGGGCAATTCTTGGTATGGGCTGTGGCTCAGGAACTGTTTCATCAGCTCACGGTGCCAGTGTGATGACTGCGTGTCCCTGTGTCCTTGGGTGGGCTCCACGCCCTCCTCTCCCCAGTGCCGCTGGGTCACTCAGCTGATGGATGGACCCCCCGCGGCCCTCAGGACAGCGCTGGCCCGGCTGAGACTGAGACTGATTGATGAGCTCCCCGCCCCTGCCCCTCAGGCGCCTGCACAAGTCATTCTCGGTCACGGCAGAATCTGTCACCTTCAGGGCGCAGACAGGTGCAGAGGTATTAATCCTGGTCTGACTCGAAGCTCCAAGTGTCCGTAATTCTCTCATGTGTTTCCGTGGTGACGTTAACAGAGGTTGTAGAACATAGCGAGAAAAGGATCGTTTTTTTCCTTAGTTAACAAGGGAGCGATAAATCATTTTTGAAAGAAAGGTACTTCCTTGTCCCAGCTTCTTGAATCAGAACTTTTTTTTTTTTGCTTATTTCTCTTTTATCTTTTCCATTGAAATGTATATTTTATATAATCAATGTATACTATTGTAATTTGCATTTGCACTATCATGTACCTTTTTTTTACTGCAACTTAGTCTTCATAATCATTCTATTGGGTACCTTTCTCGTTGGGACACCAGTATGAAACCAGTTGGCTTTCGCTGGGAATGGGTGTTTTTCCAGTTTCGGAACTGGAAACTGTGTCACATTGAACAACATTGGTTGAATTCCTGAATCCTGCTCCTGAAATTTTGGTCTGAGTAAATGATTCCACAGAGAACAAGCAAGCACTCCGACGCTCCGAGAGCGTGAATATTTTAGTGGTTCCCGACGCACGCCGGGGCTCCAAACACCCTGGCGGTTCTGGGCGCCGCCAGCGGCTCGCGGCGTCACGGTTACTGGTGCCGTGACTACGGAACACGGCTGAGTCAGCAGCTCTACGTGATGCTCTGAAGTTGCTTCGATTTTTGTGTTTTTGGCTCCTCGTGAAGTCGGACCATTTCCCCTGTTTGCTGTCTGTATGGAGAGACTCGTTTACAGCACCAGACGTTCAGCTTTTAATAAACCTTCTTAAAAATGTTTTAAAGATTTTATTGTCATGATTTATTTTGATAATCCTTCTCAAATTTTTTAAAAGATTTTATTTACTTTTAGAGAGGGGAAGGGAGGGAAAAAGGGAGAAAAACACTGATGTGTGGTTGCCTCTCACACGCCCCCTACTGGGGACCTGGCCCGCAACCCAGGCATGTGCCCTGACTGGGAATCGAACTGGTGACCCTTGGTCTGCAGGCCCACACTCAATCCACTGAGCCACACCAGCCAGGGCACCTCTGATCCTCCTTTACCGGCCGTGGTTCCCGGGGCATTGGTCAGGAAGGTGGTTGCCATGAGATAAGCTCACGCAAATGTCATCTGAACGGCGGGCCAACCTGTGACAGGCACACGGGTGTTCGTGTCTGAAAGATATAAAAGTCCCACTAAATGACATCTTTTGTACCTCTTCCCAGCCTCGGGACATGAGAAAGTGTGCTTGTTTGTTTTGTTAGTGAACATGTGAAAAACAAATTTTCACTTCAAGGAACCCATTAGAACTTCAGTGTTTTGAAGTGAACTAAAGAATCGTGTGTAGGAGAAATTAAACTCTGAAGTTTAATTCTTTTATATGGTTTTAATTACTGTTTCAAGTTTCTGTTGACAAGAGTCTTTCGCTACAATAAGAAAACACTTTTGAAGTTAATTGTGTTGTTTCCCTTTCAAAAAATAATCCCCAGTCCCTACGTGCCTTTAAATGATACGCAAGTACTTCTGCTGATGTTCATAAATTTGGTTATTTTTAGTTTATCAAACTTAGAAAACTTGATGTTGAAGATAACTGGTAAGAGCTGGTTGACTGTTTCTGTCGAAGGTGTTTTTCCTCCTGACGTGTACACTTTCAAACTGTGCTTCTCTTCTCTGCCCGCAGGTTAAAAAGGCCTTCTTCGCCTTAGTAGCCAATGGCGTTCGAGCAGCGCCGCTGTGGGAGAGTAAAAAACAAAGTTTTGTAGGTAAGCATTGTGGCCTCAGAGAAAAATCTGGAATCTGAAAAGCACAAAGCCCAGGACATTTTAATGGGCGCTGGTTGGAATTCACCCTCGTAAACATGGTAGCAAATGAAAGAACGTGCTTGCTTTTATGTGTCCAGGTGAGGTGGGGCCGCCAGTGAACTCAAATCCACTTCCCTGCTTTTTTATCGAGTTTCCTGCCTCTCGGGAGGATCTCGTGTGCCAGTTCCTGTGAGCCCAGGGTCCGAGGGGGAAGCCGTGGTTGGACGTCTGTCCGTCAGCCACCTTTGCTCACCTGGGGTCCCCCCCACCCCCTCTTCCTCGTGGGCGAACACCTTTTGGCAGGGCAGACGATGTGATGTGAAAGCGACCAGTCCCTTCTCTAAATATTGTCGCACTGTTGAGCACAGTGTGACTACAGCATCTAAACTCCATGGTTTCACATCTTGGCAGTCAGAGCAGATGGGGGTGTCGTCCCTGTCGGGGTGCGTCATGTTAGGATGAAATGACCAGCCGGGTGCCTGCCTCCCCCTCTCGGTTACGGTTTCCTCTTTGTAGTCCTGGCACCTGCCACATAGTAGGCACTTACCACGTAATGACTGGTAAGGCGGGTTGTTTCCAAGATGCTTCCCAGGAAACAGTCCAGGAGCCCCCAGAAGTATCATGTTGCTAGAGCTGCTGGAATACCTGATCTTATTTTAAAGTATTTTCAGTGATTTACACGTAGCTGCCCATCCTGTGCGATGTTTTGTAACTGTCACTAAGTTCTCCCTTGCTGAGGTGCCCAATACTGTGATTAAACCCAGTTACCGCTGGATTAAATTTCAGGTGAATCTGTGCATCTTCCTTGGCTGTAGACGATGAGCAGATGAAGTGCTTTAAATGATGTATTACACTGCGCTTGATGCGCACACGCCTGCACTTTTCTAGCCACTGTTCCACGTTTGCCTGCTATTTGAAATTTTCTTTCACGTTTTCAGGGTTTCCTCTTTAACATATAATTCTCTGTTCCAGGAATGCTAACGATTACAGATTTCATAAATATACTACATAGATACTATAAATCACCCATGGTAAGTGCCAGAAATCCTCGTGTCCGTGGCTGGAGCTGTGTTCTGTGGGTGTGTGTGAGGGTCGTGTGTGTGCGCAGTTGAAGATTTTTGTGGGTCTGGGGGTTTTGTGGTGCAGGGGTGGTGCCAGGGGTTGATTTTCCCCAAAAGTGCGAGGTGCACAGGGGGCCCCGTGTAAATCAGTCCTGCGCGTGGAGCTCGGAGAAGGTGGTCGGTATCCGGCCTTCAGGAATCCCCGGGGGCGGCAGAGTGCTGTGCGCTTACTCATGGCCTGGATCAGGCGTGTCAGACTCATCTTCACCGGGGGCCACGTCAGCCTCGCGGTTGCCTTCACAGGGGTGAATGTAACTTTAGGACTGTGTCAGTGTAACTACTCCTTGACAGTTAAGCGAGAGCTGCGTGCCGCCGCCGGGTGGAAACGAGGTGCCGGGCAGACACTGGCCCTGTGTTTGCCGCCTGTGGCCCAGGTGGTCAGTGGGCTTCACTGAGTGTACGACCTCGAACAGCCGGACGGGCACACTGCAGCGTGGAGAGGCGGCCTGGGCCGGGCAGCGAAGGTGGCCCCCACGCCGCTCCCGTCTGGGTGGCCGCCCCGGTGAGCACGTGCACCGGGAGATGAGACTGACCCTCGCCACGGGACTTGCCCCGGGGGGCTGGTGACAGGAGGGCCGCTTCGTGCACTTACCCCAAAGTGTTACAACAAGAACGACAGGCATTCCGTCGTTTAAAGAAGTGAAAAATAAAATTGAAGAAATTCCGTGTTGACATTCTCCCGCCAGTTGAAAATAGACTGCTCGTGGCTCGTTTTCAAGGCGGACGCCCTGGTCCCTGGCCCACCTGTCGTTATAGGAGAGGGTGTAGAAGCCCACAAAGGGCCCTAACTCTAGCGCCCCGACTTCCCGATTCTACCAGCGGGTCTGGGTTTTGGCTTTGTTGTTTTGGGGGGTTTTTTGTTTATTTTGGCAAGGGTGGGAAAGGACAGTATTGTATACTGTTTCTTTAACTAGCACTATTTTGGGTACGTAAAAGGTAAAAAGACAAGCCAATTACTGCTGTTTTTACATGTAATAGTCAATATTGCCCAGTAATTAAATTCCGTCATAAAATGGGAAAATAAGTTTCCTCATAATGCATACTCTTAGAAAACAATTCCACCAAAGACCTGTAGTTATTCCGTATTCATTTCACCTGGTAGATCTGATTTCTTTAATGCCGCCAATGCGGGCAAATATTGATTTTCTTTATAATGGACATCTCTCTGCTTTTGGGCTTGCAGAATCACAGAGTTTGATTATTAAGTGGGTAGATTTTTATTAAGTGTAGCCAAGCCCTGTCTAACAAAGCTCAGCAGTAGTCAATTAAATCAAAATGTCTAGAAACACAGTTGTGTCTAAATTATGCAGCCCAAAGATTTTCTTAATTCTCAAGGATACATTTTTTTTCCCTCCACATTTCACCTCATTTTCTAATTATGTGCAGAAAAATGCTACTGTGAAAGCTATGGCTTATTTCACTTTCCAAGTATTCATGGTTAGTGAAAACAACAATTGATTTTTGTATATTGACCTTTTATCCTATAAGATTCACTTATTAGTTCTAGGAACCTTTTCGTACATTTATTAGGATTTTTTTCAGTCAACTGTACCCACACTATTTATTGATAAGCCTTTTTGTCATAGCATTGTTGTACTGTCTTAGGTGTGGGTCTGTTGCTGGACTCTGTTCTGTTCCATTGTTCTCCTTGTCTGTCTCTTGTACCATGATGTCTTGATGACTATTTAAAAAAAGAGCCTTCTGATATTATTGAGAGTCTGCAGATCAATTTGGGGAGAATTGGCATCTCAACACTCCTGAGGCTTGCCATCCATGAACGTAGTATTTTTCTTGCTTTATTGCATTGGCCAGCACCTCCAGTGCAGCCCTGAAGTCAAGGCAGACCTCGCCTTGTTGCCCGCCGCAGGGGGGAGCCGCTGTTCTGCTGCCCCTCCCCTGCTCCGCCACTGGGGGTTCCAGTTGCTCAGCTGAGACTCTGTTGTTGTGCAGGGTTTTTCCTCCAGTTTTTTCTGTCTGTGCTTCATTTCAGGTATTTTCTGTAACTTCAGGGTCACCATTCTCCTCCTCTGCCATATCTAATCTCTTCATTGTTTTTCCAATCAGATACTGTATTTTCTGCTCTAGAAGTTTCTTCTTTTATTTTTACTTTTCATTTTTCTTCTTCATATCTTTAATTCTTTGAACATATCAGTTGTTTTAAAGTTCTCTGCTAATTTCATCATCTCTGTCTATTCTGGGCCTGATTCTGTTGGCTGATTTTTCTCCTATATGCAGATCATATTTTCCTGCCTCTTGAAAATCTCATAGTTTCCGGTGGGTGCAGACATTGTCAGCATGTCCTTGAATACCTGTACTGTCTTCCATTCAAAAGTATTCGAGTTGTTTGGGCAGGCAGTGGACTTAACTGGCAGGTCAGCTGGATGCTTTTGAGGGTTTTATTATTTTTTTAAGATTTGTTGAGATATAATTCATATACCCTTTTTCCACCCATTTAAAGTGTACAATTCAATGGTTTTTAGGATATTCACAGTTCTCTGCAACCATCACCACCGTCGATTTTAGAGCATTTTCATTCCCCCAGAAAGACACTCCGCACGCCTTAGCTGTAGCCCCCCGCACACAACCCTCCGTCCCCCCAGCCCTGGGCACCTCTGCTGATCCGCTTCCCGTGTCCGTAGACGTGCGCGTTCTGGGCATGCCTTACGAAGGGAGTCACCTAACTAACACGTAGTAGCTCTTTGTGGCTGGCTTCTCCCACCTCGAGCAACGTTCTCCGGGTTTCCTCCTGCCGTAGCACCAGTCAGCACTCATTTCTTCTTACCCCCGAACAGTCCTCTGCGGTGTGGGTGTACCACGTTCTACTTGTCCGTTCGCCAGTCGGTGGGCACGGGGATGGTGTCCCCTTTGTGTCTGCTGGGAATATGGTGCCGCGGACACTCGTGTACAAGTGTTTGTGAGGACCCGCGTCTGTATTTCCCTTGGCCGGCGTATGCCCGGGGGTGGGGTTGACGGGGCCTGCGGTACCATGGTTAACTCTGTGAGGAGCTGCCGGGCTGGTCTCCAGCGGCCGCGCCGTTTGGCACCCCCACCGGCGATGCAGGAGGGTTCGGGTTCTCCGGGTCCTCGCCAACACTTGTTACCGCCTGTCTTTCTGGTTACAGTCGCCCTTGTGGGTGTGGAGTGACAGCTTTTGGGCTTACTTTGTGTCTTCGATGTGCTTCTGGGGGTCCGGGCTTTGTTAGAGTGCTGGTTTAGTTCTCTGCTTCCAGGAGCCCCCTGCGCTCCCCTGGCTGCTTCACCAGGACTTGCCCTCTGCCTGGTCAGAGCGCAGACGTCCCTCGGCGTCGGTCTGGCCTGGCTTCACGTGCTTCCGCGCCGCGCATGCCCAGCTGAGCGTTCAGTGAGAAGAACTCAGGAGTGCCGGGTGCACCCCCGCCGCGTTACCTGGACAGCTCCCTGCCCTGTGGAGCCCACCTCGTCCATTCCCGTGGGCTCGGCCCTCCCAGCCCTCGCTGCCTGTCTCAGCTCAGCGAGGCTGCCGTGTTCTCGCGGCGTGGGGTCCGCAGGGGCCCCTGGAGACGGTGTGCTGACCGGGGCCCACCGTGCCGCCTCCCTTCTCCCGGCGGGGTCCGAGTCTCGCCTGCTTGTCATCTGGTGTCTGGAAAAAGTTGTTTTCCCTGTTTTTTCCTGTTTTCTAGTTGTGTTCAGCAGGAGACTGAGTGTGGCCCATCTAATCCATCTTGGATGACAGAGCGCTGGCGATACTTTAGCCGTACCTCTCTGCACTCTGTGTGTGTGTGTGTGTGTGTGTGTGGCTGCTGAGTGGGTTTCCCTGTCACTTGTAACTTACTACAGTCTATGCAGAGTGGACATCACATGTTTGGCATAAAACGTAGTTCCATCAACTCTGGCCCCGCACTTCCCACCGTGCCGCAGAAAACCCCGCGGCTGTGGGTCCGCGGCGCTGCTGGCGGTGGGCTCCCTCCGGTTTTGCCCGTCTGACGGTGTCGTTAGAATTTCATCACCACTTTTGAAAGACAGTTTTGCTGTTTGACAGAAACTGAGTTAGCATTTTTTCTTTAACACTGTAAGGATGTAATTTCATTGTCTTTTGACCCATCCCCTCCCATGCTGCTTCTGTTTCAAGAGTTTCTCTTTCTTTTTTTTATTTTTATTTTTTGATTTTTAAAGAGAGAGGAAAACATCAAATTGTGGTTCCACTTATCCATGCACTCATTGGTTGATTCCTGTGTGTGCCCTGACCGGGGATCAAACCCACAACACTGGCATGTTAAGACGGTGCTCTAACCAACTGAGCTACCCGGCCAGGGCAAGAGTTTCCCTTGAACTCGGGATTTTAGCAGTAACGGTGATATGCCCACACGTGGTTTCCTTTGTGCTCATCCTGCTGTGGGTACATCGAGTTGGTGTGACCCTCTAAGTTGGTTTTTCATGTCATCGGGGAGGTTTTCGGCTGCGGCTCCTTCGAGCAGGCCTCTGTCTCATTCTCCCAGTCCTCTCCCCTCTGGGACCTCAGTGCGCGTCTGTGAGACCGTGTCACCCTGTGCCGCGGGTCCCTGGGACTCTGGGGTCATTGACCTTCAGATCAGATCATCCGTTGGTCGGCCTTAAACTTGCTAATTCTTCCTCAGGTGATCCCCAGTCTTATTTTCAAACCTCGTTCCTGTTGAATCTTCAGTGAGACTGGGAATGTAAGCCTGAAATGAAGCTTCTTTGGGAATGTAGCAGCTTTGTAAAGTCTTCTGTGGCTGATTTTCCACAAAATGGAAATGAAACTTTCAAACAACAACGTTCACGTGTATTGTGGAAGGAACTGCTCTTCGTAATGGCAGCCAAGGCTGCTGCCTTTCCGATCAAACACTATTCTTTACACAAACGTGGGTCCTGGATGCCTTTCCTTTAACTGCTACATTTTGTGCACGGAGCAGCGGTTGCTGCTTCTCCACCTTCCTGCGCAGCCTTGTGGCCTGTTTTTCACACTCAGTGTGCGGGCTACTTCTTATCTGTCCTCTTTCTAACCTGAGTCAGGAGGTCCTTCCTCTTCCTCCTCCAAACTCCTGCTGTGGATGTGGTCTCGGGCGTGGCCTTGGCCTCCGCCCTCCCCTGTGCGACTTCCCTTCCTTGGGAATCTTCATCCACTTCCTCGACTTCACTCGCTCGCTCTTCCTCCTGAAGCTGGCCCCGGCCAGTGAAGTCCTGCTCTTTCAGAATCCTGTTCGAGCCTCACCTTAGTGATTGATGGGGGGGTTCCCTGTACTAGTCCCCCTCGGGCAGCGTGGGTCCCTGAGTCAGGGCCTAATTGACAACCTCGGGGCACTTTTCATTGTATTGTGATGAGTGGTAGTGCAGCGTTGCTCACCTGGGAGAGATCTGTATCCTGATGAGTGGCAGTGCAGCATTGCTCTGCCTCCCAGGGTTCCTTACCTGACCTCTGTGCCCCTCCGGCTCCCACGGCCCGTACTGAGCCCTTTGGAGAGTGGCCGAGCGTGTATCCTGTGTTCGGCGGTCAGTGGCACTCTTCTGTAGGACTGTATCCTTGCCGCCTGCCCACTGGACTGGCCGCGTCCAGAAGAGCCCAGGTTTCCTGCCGCAGCACCCTGACGCGCCCTGATGGAGTGCCGGGTTGCGGCCCGGCTGTGTTTTTGAAAGCGGCGGGGGGGGGGGGGGGGGCTGCAGAAGGCAGGGTAGGAGGGAGCTCCAGGGTCGGGAGCACCTGGCACGTGATCTCCACAGCCCCTCCAGAAGCCAAATGGGGGGCGTGGCTTTTTATCCCACCCTTTAGGCAGGGAAACACGTTCGGAGAGGTTCAGTAATTTGGCCAGGAATAGCAGCTGAGAAGTGGTAGAGCAGGTGTGGAGATTTGAGACAGCTGGAGACTCCAGGGGGCCTGCCGCGTGGGGGCCCTGTCCCCTCCCCCTTCGTGAAGACGGGTGAGGCGGCCCCAGGTGTGAGCCGACCCCACCGCCCCTTTCCGCTCAGGAATCAACCAGCCGCCCTTTTAAATTAGCGACACTAGAAACCTTTCAGAGGAATGAGTGTGTATGTCTGTGTGTGTTTTAAAAGCTAAATGTGTCAGAAATTTTCAAGTTAAATCAACGAAAATACGTTAGGCTGGTTTACGATGTTTTGAATTACTAGAACATTTATCCTCAAAGAAATGCGGAGCATTCGTTTCTGACTTGTAGTTCCAGTATCGTTGCGTCTCCTTGATCATTTCCACCTGCCGAGTTACAGGACCGGAAGTAGTTAGGACAAGTAATGTCCTTACGTTGTATGAACATTTGTAAATAAGAATTCTTACTTTCAGGTACAGATTTATGAATTAGAGGAACACAAGATTGAAACGTGGAGGGGTAAGTATCGTTGGGTGTTTAAAATCTTTTAATATCAGCAGAAATGCTCTACTCGGTGTTTAAAATATTTCTTAATTTCACAGACCCTTTTCTCTGCTTAGTGATAAATTACATTAATTAAAGTGTATTTTTAAAAGATTTTATTTATTTTGGAGAGAGAGGGGAAGGGAGGGAGAAAGAGAGGGAGAGAAGCATCAGTGTGTGGCTGCCTCTCGCACGTCCCCAGCTCGGGCCTGGCCCACAACCCAGGCCTGTGCCCCGACCAGGAATCAAACTGGCGACCTTTCACTTTGCGGGACAATGCCCAACGCACTGAGCCACACCGGTCAGGCAGGGCAAACATTTGTTTCTATCTTAGTTTCGATAGCCTGCCCTCCTGCCATGCATAGTGTCCATTCTGTGTGATAGAAGTCCATGGAGACCCTGTGGCAGGTGTTAGTGAGGCCGGGAACGTGAGGCTGAGTAAGCTAACCTGTGCCCACATCTCTGCCCGCCCCACACCCCGGGATCCACCGTTTTGGTGAGAAGTATTACCCCCCAAAATAATTTGCCTTGGTACAGAAAATGCACCAAGGGATGCCTGAGATGAACCAAGGCAAGGGTCTGTCCTTCTGTGAATTTGCTCATCATTTCTTTACAAATCGGGAGAAACACGAACCAGTGGCCCTTGAGCTAGACAGCTGGGACCAGCTGACGGGACGCCAGCGTCCTGGTTGCCCCTGGTTGGTTGTGACCCTGGCGTTCACCCTTCGTGACCACAGCCCCCTGTTCTGAAACGGAGCCATTTTCAAACCCGAACTGCCCGACTGGGGCGCTGCTCTGTGTCAGTGGGTCCGCTCAGCTGGGCGGGCGGGGAGGGGGGCCGCCTGCCGGCAGCAAGACCACAGACACGGGCCTGGCAGGAACCAGGGCGGGGATCCTGTTCTGGGGGGTGGGGGCGGGGGCGGGGGAGGTGCTGGCGGGAAATGGGGGGACCCACTGAAGGCCAGTTGTGAATTGAAAACTGAAATTTAGCTTTGTACTTCCCGTAATCCGCTTGGTTTGATAAGCAACCTTAGTGACTGGCCGGGAAATCTGAACATCTGTTAGGATTCTCCGAAGGGCTCAGGGACTTTTAATTAGAAATCCCCGAAGGGCTCAGGGACTTTTAATTCCGTGTGACCCAGAAGTTTCACCGAGTGACTTGTGACGGCTTTATCAACGCCGACTAAACGGCGTCGGCGCCGTGGTCCGCGTCTCGGCCCTGCCCGTCCTGATGCGAAGGTATGGGGCAGGCAGACGCAGGTCTACAGCCGTGACTGTGCAACACCGAGTGTATGTTCGTGTTGCTGCTTATTAATCCTGTTCCCTGCATTGCAGCTGTAAGCCTGGGCGTGCCAGCCCCCGCACACCCGGTACCCACAGGTACCTGTGCCCAGAGTCCCCTGTTAGAGCAGGGGCGAGTCTCCGTACGTGTCGACACTACAAGGCTGTTCGGTGGTGATGGCAGTAATGTCAGACGTCCTCGAATGCCTTCTGTATAGAAGGCTCAGTACATTAATTGGCTGATCTTTACAAAGGTCATTTCCCCCAACTGGAAAGACCCCCAGGAGGCCGTGCGTTTGGAGCATCCATTTGGTCACGAGAAACATAAGACCACTTAAAGGACGGAGTCTGCTGCGGCTTCTGGTTCATTCCTTAACTCGGGAAAACCAGTCCTAAAGGGGGTCTCGGAGGCTGGTCTCCTGTGGGTGACGTGGCTGTGGGGTGACCTCTGCTGGCAGCACCTCTGTCAGCTGCCTGGACTGACTTTCACAGCATCTCTTGTAGGACTCCTTGTTAAACACTCAGTTTTTCCACAAAGGCAATATCCTGAAAACAGCTTGGAAGTTGTTTAAAATAGCCGTAAATGTAACCAAGATGATAGTTTCTGCTAAATTAAATTTGATGTGGGTTTTTAATCTAATTATCATCTATAAATTGCAGGGTATCTTGATTTATGTAATCATTGCAAAGAACAAATGTGTTACTAATTATGTATTTTCTTTCTGTGAATGCAGAGCTCTATTTACAAGAAACATTTAAGCCTTTAGTGAATATATCTCCAGATGCAAGGTAAACCTGGGAAGTTTTTCTCCTTTGAACGCCTTCCTTCAGATTCCTCTGTTTTGTTACCGTGATGGGTTGGTTGGTGGATTTTTTTTTCATCCAGATTAAGGCCAACCCCCTTAATTCCACGTAGTAAATTCAGGAAAGCGAGAGACAGCAGAAACCCCGGCCACTGCTGCTGCAGGGGGTCGGCCGTGGACCAGGGAGGCGGTCACACTCTGCAGCCTGGAAACCCCGACCCCCTGCCGCGGACACCTGGCAGGGAGCGGGGTGGACCAGCGGGGCCCGAGGCCCTCCTCCCCGCAGCGAGAGCAGTCGATGGGGAGCCGTGCCCAGGACTGCGCCACAGAACACCCGCCCCGGTGGTTCCCACGCACCCCGCAGTTGAAAACTCAGTCTCTGTCAGACCCCGGCCCAAGGGGGTCCCAAGGGAGGGGCTGCACTCTCAGAAGTCTCCCCCCTCGTACATCTTGATCCAAGCCTTCTGGGGTGGCTCTGGTCCACCTCCACGTCCGTACGAAAGCATCCTTAACCCTGTAGGCTGCTAGCGCAAAAACGTGGGGCGTTGATTTGTAGTATTTCGTGTCCAAGTCCCAACAGACAGGTGAAAAACACCCACCATGCCTCCGGGTGGGCGGTCCCAGGAGAGGCCAGCGGCCAGCCCAGGGGGGCCCCACTGGCCACAGGCGCCGCTCACGGGGTTCATTAGCGCCATTCCTGGGGCTCGGCGTCCCATCATTCCTCCCGTGAGAGCCCTAAATGTGCTGCCGAGCAGCTGCTCGGGCCTCGCAGCTGGCAGTCGTGGTGGAGGCTGAGTAATGACGCAGCCTGGGGGGCGGGGGGCGGGGGGGGAACCCAAATATTTACTGCGTGCGATCTCCAATGTAAGACTTCTCCGGAACACCGTTCCAAGTCGGTCAGCCCCTTGTGGTTGTAACAGGAAGCGCTGAGAAGCCCTTTGAAAGCAGGGGTGGTCCGACGTTTTCGCGTTTTCCCTCCCGAAAGCCCCCTAACCTCTCTCACGGCTCTCCCCACAGCCTCTTCGACGCCGTATGCTCGCTGATCAAAAATAAAATCCACAGACTGCCCGTTATTGACCCCATCAGTGGGAATGCACTTTATATCCTTACCCACAAAAGAATCCTCAAGTTCCTCCAGCTCTTTGTAAGTAGTCTCCAGCGTTTCTAAAGACTCAGTCCCCTCCCCTCGAACTGAACCCACTCCGGGGCGCCGGGTCCCGTTGCCCTCAGGGGGAGCAATGGTCAGGGTCGGGGCCTCTGTCTCTCACCTCGGCTTCTCGGCCCTTTCCTGTCTGAACTGCACGTTTCCAAAGCTGATTCCAGTTAAAAAGCCGGCACCCTTTTCAGAGCGAGTGGCAAAAGGACAAAACCGTTTGGGATCCTCTGTTTACGTGAGACTATTCTACCCCTAAAATAGGAGGGAAGGCGAAGCAGTGTGCCAGTCAGTCTGGGGGAGGAGTGCCCCCCGAGGCAGGTCGGGCCGGTGATTTATCGCCACTTGTCACCGTCGGGCGCTTTAGTGCAACCTCACGGCGCTGGACGCACGCAGCCGCCACGGGCTGTCCCAGGAGCAGCTCACTGTCCCAAACGGCAGCGGCGGGAGGGGAGCCCAAAGGGAACACAGTTCCGGCAGGAGGAGACCATGTTGGCCCAAATGGGGGCTGTGTCCCCTGCAGGATCCCCGCCGCATTCGAAACGAGGCGGTTTCGCAGCCGTGCCAAACTTTAGACCGGCGGGTTCGGTCGGCCGGTTTCACGGAGGCCCAGAGGGACCACAGCCTTCAAGTTCCTCCTCTTAATGACAGGCGCTGAACCTGACTTTTTTCCCTTGTAAGATCAGCCAGAACAGTGGGTGGCCTCGTTTCACGGTGCCAAAGAGACCATTTGAAGAGTCTTTTCTTTAAAGAGTTTAACAGACATTAAAAAGTGCGTCCAATTAGCTCTCCCATTGGCCCCCCCCACAGCTTCAGGCAAGGCCATGGCGTGGCCCTCTGGTGGGGGCGGGGAGGAGCCGGGGTGTCTCCTACCCAGCACGCCAGCCCCACATCGTAATAGTTTTCATGGGAAAGTAACACTCTTCTCGTGAAAATTAATGATAAAAATGGTAGCAAGAAGAAGGGTCATTTACCAAAAAAAAAGTGTGCGGTTCGGCAGAAAGACAGTCGTGGAAGGAGGATCAGGGACGTGCGTGGGGAGGCGGCGGGCGAGACTTGGCCTTGCAGGGTCTGACGCCGCCGCCCTGGGTCCGAGCTGGAACGGCGCCGGGCGGGCGTGAACGGCCCTCGGTCTCTCCCGTGGGTCCCCTAGAGAAAGCACTTGACAGCAACATTCACAGTGAGCCAGGCAGGTCCTGTGCTCAGTCCGAGCCTGGCCAGCGCTCTCTCGGGCGCTTCTGTCCCTCCCGTCTCGTGAGGGAGGAAGCCGGGGGGAGGCCGGGTGGCTGCCTCGGTCCCCATGGGCATCTGACCGGCAGCCTGCCCCAGCTCCCCGCCCTGCCCCGTGTACACGGGCACCCAGCTCCCCTGGTCCCCAGACCCGGAATGGCTGGGTTCCAGCCCCACTCCCACCCCATGGCTCTGCTGCCGCAGGAAAGGGGCAGCGGGGTGAGACCAGCCCGTGGCGTCTGTCTCCCGGGAAAAGTTGAGGGGGTCGCCCTGCCGGGACCGCCTCTTATTTGGGCCAACATGGTCATTCTGTTAGAATAGCCTGATGGCTAGAGGTGTTCAGGTCACAGTGCAGAGTTTTAAAGGAGTTTCAGAGCCTGGTTTTTACCGTTCTGAGAAAAAGGAGCGTTCCCCTCGGAGACAGCCCATAGTCAGCCTCCACACGTAGGATGGAACCGGGGTGGCCCTGCCGTGGGCCAGGTGACCTAATAGGTCTTTTTTTTTCTCTAAATTTCTAGGAGTCTCATGATTTGAATATTGATGAACTCTTTGACTTGAACATTTTGTTTCTCCTAATTGTTCATCTTTTCCTGATAATTATAAGGTACACCAGGAGGATGGAGTCGACTATACCCTTTCTAAAAGGTGGATTTTTGAAACTGTACACCTTAATTTTGTTTTAGTCAAACGTGATCCTACACTTCTCTTCTGCCTTCTCCCTCCTCCTCTAAAACATCCGTGAAAAAAAAAAAAGTTAACTTTTAAAGGTTCTTTTAATTCTGTGCGGTTGGCTTGTCCTTCATGCCTAGTAGACCAACATGGGAGCCCCCCGCGCCCCCCCAAGGGGGAGAGTTCCGGATGTGGACGGAGGCGGGACGGTGTGAGGACGCGCTCAGCCACTAGGGGCGCCCTATCCAACACGCGGGCTTTGGAGACACACGGGCTCTCAGTACGCGACCCAGCGAGGGCCGCAGGACCGGGGTTTCATGCGGATACTTAAAAGCAGAGCGTTCTTGGTGGCTTCTGGGTTTTAGTTTTGAAAAAGGCCTGTTGTTCCCTCCCGTCCTCTTTCCCACTGGGTGCGGAGAAGGGGAAAAACGCTACAGTGTTAGTGCTTCGCGGCACTCGACTAAGTCGTCACATGGAAGAGACGTGCACACTGGTGGGGACGGGAGAGAGCTCTGCACCTGGGGCGCTTCCGCACTCGTGCGGCGCCCGGGTGGACAGCTGGGGAAGACTCCCCTTAGTGTGCCGCACGGGTTCCTCATCCGTGCGGACGTGTGAACGCCCAGGGGGGCCTGGGGAGCCGCTACAGCCCTTGCCCTTCCCGCCCCCTCCCCCCCCCCCATGCAGATGTCCGACATGCCAAAGCCGGCCTTCATGAAGCAGAACCTGGACGCGCTGGGCATCGGCACCTACCACAACATCGCCTTCATCCACCCGGACACGCCCATCATCAAGGCCCTGAGCGTGTTCGTGGAGCGGCGGGTGTCCGCCCTGCCCGTCGTGGACGAGTCAGGTCCGTGTCCGGCCTGGAACAGGAGCGACGGCGTGTCTCAGGAGCGTTGGGTTGCTGCCCCACGGCCCAGGCTCCCGGGGGCGGGGGAGGGGGGGGCAGCTTTGCAGCATCCCTGGGCCACTCCGGAGGAAGAGGAGTTGTCTCGGGCTGCACATTAAATACATTGTGACACGCGATCACAAAAAAACCTCATCATGTTTTAAGTAAATTCACGATTGTGTGTTGGGCCGGATTCACAGCCACCCTGGGCCGCAGGCGGTCTGCAGGCTGGACACCCCCAGCCCCAGCCTAGGTGCTAAGCGGAGGGAGCAAACATTTAAATCGGGTGGATAAGCTCAGCGCCAGGGGGCACTTGGGATAGTAAGAATTATAAACTGGCTCGTTTTTACTAAGATGTGCATTTAAAGTTCACGTGCATTTAAAAATAGACACGTTTGTTTTATTTAGTAATATGTAAATCTTAATCATTACCTAGTTACAACTAATTTTAAATGTGATTTTGTGCTCTTAAGACATTTTGCTAACATATATCTTCATTTTTAGGAAAAGTTGTGGATATTTATTCCAAATTTGATGTAATTGTAAGTATTCTCAATTTTGTTAGGTCTGCCATCTCGAATGTGTTTATTTTTTTATATTTTTTTAAGATTGTATTTATTTATAGAGAGGGGAAGGGAGGGAGAAAGAGACGGAGAGAAACATGAATGTATGGTTGCTTCTTGAGCACCCCCTACTGGGGACCTGGCCTGCAACCCAGGCATGTGCCTTGGCTGGGAATCGAACTGGCAACCCTAGGTTTGCAGGTCTGTGCTCAGTCCACTGAGCCACACCAGCCAGGGCTAGAATGTGTTTAAAACATTAAATAATCTGTTTTTGTAGTTTTCTGTAATTTAATGATTTCTGGCTTTTTTGAGTGTAAAGATCTTATCAAGAGAATTCCATATCCCCCCCCCCCCAGTAATTACACTTCTAATATCCATCGGTGTAGCAAACACATGATGTGTTCGTAGCACTTTATAACTCTCCCGTCTTTTCGGTGCGTGTGGTGTTTACCCGTCACTGCAGCGTGTGTGTGTGTGTGTGTGTGTGTGTGTGTGTATTTGGAAGGGTCATTCTTCTGTGCGGGGACACCAGTTATTCCCCCAATGGGCACGTGCTCAGTGCACACGAACTTGGTGTCATTGTTTGATGATTGCGGACAACTGTCCTAAAGGAGACAGCAAATGAACTGAATAGTGACGTGAAGTCCTACGTGAACCCCTGGTTTAACTCTGCTGGGTTGACCTTGGTGCTGCATCTTTCCGTGCGATGCTTTCTCTCCTCGTTCATTTTACATGCACTCCCCGAGAATCCCCTTTGTTTCGACGAAAGGGGACTGAAACTTCGGTAGCCCCCTCCAGCCGTCTCAGAGCCTTCCGTTTCATCCCGTTCTGCTTGACATAACAGACACCGAAACATACGTGTATCTGCTCATTGGAACTGGGTGGGCGGGGCCTGCTCAGATTAATCAGAACCCCGAGGGGCTCCCGGCGCGGGTCCCCCAGCCCTGTGGCGCTTCCCACCCGAGGTCAGCCCACCTCTGGAAAGGCTCTGTTCAGGCGGGGAGCCGTGCAGGGTGAGGACAGCAGGGGGCCTGGGACGGGGATCTTTAGAGGGGCATGCAGTCAAGTTAGCACCGTGGCTTCCTGATTAAGGTCCACAGCCTGAGCCTTAATGTCGACCGGGAGGAGGAGGATAGCACAGATGGCCTCGTACAAGCTCCGTGTGCTGGGGCTGAACAGACTCTCACGGGTTTAAAACCGGGCTGTTTGACACCCTTGCTCATTTGGGTCATTAGCGTGAACCTAAATGAAAGCGTGTTAATTCCTTCTGTTGCTTTATCACAGAACCTTGCTGCTGAAAAAACATACAACAACCTAGACATCACGGTGACCCAGGCGCTTCAGCACCGTTCCCAGTATTTCGAGGGCGTTGTCAAGTGCAATAAGCTGGAGATACTGGAGACCATCGTGGACAGAATAGTGCGAGCCGAGGTGAGTGAGACGGCTGTGCCGGGCTCCTTGCTGCCCCCCCCCCACCTCTGCCTCCCGGGCCACACAAGCCCCAGCCGGTGAGTGAAGGGGGCCCCAGGGTTGGGACTCTTGGAACGGCCTGTGGGATTCATTGGGACGGTGCTGTCTCCCAGTGCCAGAACCCAGCGTGTTACTGGCACATAGTAGGTCTTCTCTAAATGTTCACTGAATGGGATTTTTAAGTCCTGATATCATAGTTGGATCAGGTGAGCTGGTAAGCTACTCCCATGGTTTAAAAAAGGCCTACTGGAGGAAACCGAAGTCCCAAGAGTTTTAAGTTCCCTTTGGGTATTTATGAATGGGAAGCTAAAAATGCTCAATTACATGGTTTTAACAAAGTAAATGATAGAATGTACTCTGATTTTTTTAAGTAAAGTACAATTTCTCTCTTCCCGCTGGTACCTCTGTCTCCTGATTCAGGCGAACAGTACATGTCTGGTGACCTCATCTCCTGCCCCCCCACCCCCCGCTCCATCCACTCCACGACCCGCTCAACCCCGCAGGGTTGCCCTGTGTGCCGCATAACTGGCTCAGTCCAGGGTGAGCGAGGTCATTGCACAGCACACCGAACTCGGCATGCCCACCCCAAACCCTTATTTTTTCCTCCTCGGTAGACAGGGAGAGAGGTGTCCCGTCCATCACTGTTCAGGGCTGAAGGGTGCAGCCGTGCTCCTCCCGGGACACGCCCTGATTGGGCAGAATCAGCCCCTCTGATCAGTGTGTCGGGTGCTTGCTCCGGCAGAACGCACGAACACGGCCCAGGAAGCAGAGTGCCCGATTGTTCCTTAGGCTAATGACGGGCAGCCAGCTTGCTTTCCGACCGCTTCCCATGAAGGAGGGCGCCATGCTCCCTCTCGGGAGCCGTCACGAGCCCACCCAGCCCTGTGCCCTCTGCACACAGACAAGCCCCGCCCTGCCCTGGCCTCTGCGGAGGTGATGCCCCACCCAGCCTCACCTGCTGTGGCTACTGATGGGTTTCCCTGGAATCTCAATAGGAAGTCTTTCCTTCTTCTACCGAATGTAGCACCGTCACTCCTTGTTTTGCAAAGGAGTTTAATTGACTTAGGAATATATAATTTTATGAAGGTCTTTAGAATTATGTGCCTTCTGAAGATTATCAGCAGAAATAGATCAGGATTCCCTCCTATTTGTAAGCAGAGTGCACATGCAGATGGTGGCATCCTTTATGATGAGTAAAAATCACGTTGTAAAGCTCATTAAACATTGCCAGGAAGGAAAGATCAAATAACAAGGAAGTCTGAGGGCCCATTTTGAGTCAGGGTCAGACAGCTAAAGAGCTGTAAAAAACTTTAAGGAACAAACTTACTTCTTGCTTGGACCCTTATCATTTCATTGAGAGCATTCTAAACAAAGCAGGTTTCACAGGATTTTACACATTCTTTCTTAGGCCTGATTGCCCAGGGGGAACCCGCCCTTTCCAGCACAGAGCTGCACCACCCTGTCATTGTTTCAGGCTTAGGTGGAGCAAGGGAAGTAAGGCAGCCAAGAGATAAGGAGATTTTCTCCCAGATGATGAGGACTCGGGCTATGTCAAAGCTGAGGAGCGAGGGTCCATCACCCCCTTTTGCTGTAGCCCCCAAAGTCCTTCCTTGGGGGCCTCCCACGTGATCGTGCCTGTCTTAGATCATTCCCCCCTTGGGGAATCTTACCCGTCATTGGCTAACCGACCAAGCCTTGGGGGCCGGGCAGGGTGAAGTAAAAAGAGCAGAAGTGGCGCTCCTGCCAGGGAGATAAGCTTTTGTCTCCTTGGTGCCTTATGGTCCAAGGTCATTCCCTCAGCCTTAGCCTTGGCGGGGTTACAGCTTCTGATACCAGGCAGGGCGGTTCCCAACAGGTAGCTGGCTGGTTTTTGAAGTTCATCTGGTGAAAAACAGAAATTTCATTACAATACGAAGCAGGTCATCAAGGAAAGTAAAGATGCAGTTCATCAGTTTCTCAAGTTAACCATCCGGGCTTTTTTCTTCATTAAAATAATTCCTTTCACCAGATGACTTCTTGGTGAGGAGCCAGGACCGGTTTTTATCTTCGACATGTTGGATAGTTCAGTAGGAGAAGGGTATGCAGTATCAGCAATGATTTGGTTTATTTGTGTGACCTAAGTGTCGCCCTGGCTTTCAGATATCTCAGAGAAGGGACATTCGTAAAGTCTAGACCCAACCACAGAGGACAAGAAAATACTTTCAGCGGTCATGTCTGTCTAGTAGGATTCGTTCTCCAGGTGAGAGGGCTTCCCCTTGACCTTCAGCAGCTCAAGAGTTAGTTAATGTTAATGGAATGTAGACCTCTGTCCTCGAGGTAAACCGTTATTTTAACTTACAGTTCTTAAATGTGTAGTTCTATCATAGGATTATTGGAGAACCCAAGTTTTTTAGAGAAACTTATAAAAGGAATATATGCTGGTCAGTGTGAGAAAGATGGCAGTGGTTTTTGTAGCCCAAAGCAAGCTAGGGTATCCAGAGGATCACCGGAAGTGTCACTGCGGACAAACTAGAGACCGTGCCAAGGTGGTGGCAGCTCGGGGGAACCTGAAGTCGCCCCTCCCACAGGCACCCTCAAATGTACACCTTCGAGTGCACGACAGACCTGTCCGGAAAGCATCCAGCCATGTGCCATGAAAAATAGAGGCGTTTACTGAAGGAGATGCAAGAAACATCGCACACAGGACGATGACACCTCAGTCCCTTTTAAAGCAGGCACCTTGGGGCTTCACACAGTTCTCCTCATCATCCTCGGCTACCCTGTCATAGTTTCCTGACTCTCATCAACAGTCTAAAATCTCTTCCCTTTCAAAGGTGATTTCAGTTTTGGGAAAACCCAGAAGTCGCAGGGCGCCCGATCTGGGCTGTAGCGGAGCTGAGTCACCCGGGTGATGTGATGTCTCACCACAGACCTCTGCAGGAGACGTGATGCATGAGCGGACACATTGGTGAGATGAAGCTGTCCATCACCAGTTGCCCGGGGCTGCGGCCTTCTGAGTCATCCAAATAGTTTCCACGGAGGAACGTTCAAGCCTAACATAAAATTCGACGCAGATCTGCTGTTCTACTTGCTCAATTTGAATGTGACGGCCACACAGGGCACATGCTCACTCAATGGTGTCTGCTGCCCCCACTGACAAGCACAGTGAAGTCGTCATTGTTCACACGTACCCATTCCGGTCCACTCTCCTTGGCTGCCAGGTTACGTGGTGGATGTTGCACAAACTGCTCTCGGTATATTAACAACGGCTGGACTTTTCCCGGACAGACCTGGTACACGAGGTCCGCATACAGAGCAGCTTCTGCCCAGCAGACGAGAGCCAGGGCGCAAATAGAGAAGGCCAGGACATCGCAGCGGCTCTCCAGGGTCGGGGGGCCCGTGAGCACCTCTGCTCACACCCCCGTCCACCCTGATACCCAGGTGCTCTGGCCCACCTGTGAGAGCACCACAGCGCATCCTCACGCACATGCCCAGAGCCCATTTCAGCCCCCCAGAAAGGGAGCACGCAGCATCAACCGGGCGTCCCCACATGCCCCCGGCCCTCCTGCCCCTGCCCAGAGCCCCTCCAGACCGGCAGGCCCAGCGCCAGGTGCCGGAGGTGCCCGCCTGGCTCCAGCCTGCCTGCCAGAACCACCTGGCTCACAGCTTGCGCGGAGGTCACGGCCACTTTTCTAAGGCTGAGAAAGCACTCTGTTTTGTGTAATTCATGTAAGCAAACACAGAAGGTCAAACAAAATGAAAAGAGAGAAGGCTCTCTCCAATGAAGCCAGAAGAAAAATAACCTGAGGAAACGGAGATACGTCATTTCTCTGATACAGAGACAGCCATAAGGGTGCTCACCAGACTTGGGAGTGGAACAGAAGAACTTCAACAAGGAGTTAGCGGAATAAAGAACTAAGCAGACTGAAGAATACAATAGCTGAAGTGAAAAGTACTCTGGAGGGGAGGACTCGGCCACAGATTAGCTGCTGCAGAAGACGGGAGTAGGGACTGGGGAGACAGGCTAGTGGAGGTCAACCAATCAGAACGGCAGAAAAGAAAATAAATTAAAAATGAGGGCAATTTAAGGAAGCTCCAGGGAAATAGCCAGCACAAAGGCATTCACATTACAGGGATCACAGCAGAAGAAGAAAGGGAAAAGAACCGAAACTTGATTTGAAGAAATAATGGCTGAAAACTCCTAACCTGGCAAAGGAAACAGATACCCCGCCCCGGGAAGCACAGAGAGACCCACACCAAGTCTTGTAATCAAAACGGGAAACTCGAGAAATGAAGAGACAATGTTTAGGCAGCAAGAGGAAAACAGCTAGTTACATGCAAAGGAAACCCATAAGGCTATGCATGGCCCTGGCTGGTGGGACTCAGTAGGTTGGGTGTGGTCCCACAGATCAAAAGGTCATGGGTTCGATTCCGGGTCAGGGCGTATGCCTAGGTTGCAGGTTTGGGCCCCTGCCAAACGTGTATGAGAGGCAACCAATCAATCTCTCTCTCTCTTTCTTTCTCAATCTCTCTCCCTCACCCCCTTTCTTCCCCTCCCCCCTCTCAAAAATAAATAAAATTTTTTTAAATAGTCGAGCAAATCAGCATTGCATTTGAACATTAGCGCCAAAGACCTTTATGTGGTTCTGTACTGTTTCTCTCTCGCACGTGTGGGCTGCAGTCATTGTAAAGCATACGAAAGGCAGCGTTTCTCTATTTTCCATTTTAAAACTCTGTATTTCGGCGTGCTCACGCAGCCTGCCTGTCTCGGTTGCAGGTCCATCGGCTGGTGGTGGTGAACGAAGCCGACAGCATCGTGGGCATCATTTCCCTGTCGGACATCCTGCAGGCGCTGATCCTCACCCCGCCAGGTACCGGTCCGTGTCTGACCTCCTCCCGCTGGGACGGAGGAGCGGGCGCAGCCCACCGCCGCCGCCGGGTGCGCCCCGCAGGGCGGCCCTCTGCGCCTTCCTCCGTAAACCACTGTCCTGTTCTCTGTGGCTGTGAGGTTCTGCTCTTGCACTTGGGGGAGGGAGAGGAGTTTATGGACAGCATTCTGACTTAGCCTGTCTCTGCCCCGCTGTGCCCGAATTACCAAGGATTCATTGCCAAGGTCATCATAACTTTTTCCATTAAAAAGCTAAGCCCTCCCCAGTTTTGTTTTAGTTTTAGGACCACTAACTGGAAAACACGAGGGAAAGTCTTTGGGCTCTAACTGTTGGAATCTTCACCTGCGCCTCAGAAAGAAAAGAAGCTTTCCGGTGTTTTGAGTGCATAAAACAAAGACCACAACACAACTTTGCCTGTGAATAGTGTGTGGAAATTACACTGACTACCACACAGCACCGACGGCTCACTCATTTTCGCCAGGCTCACTCTGAGCCCGCCCAGGGGTTGCAGCCGGGAGCGGAGCCGGAGCAGGTGGAGAGGCCTCGGGAGGGAGGAGCTGGCGTGTCTCCTCTGTGGGGCAGCCGACGGGTCCTAGAACCAGCAGCTCTCCCTGCTTTCCTCTTTTTCCTCCTCCCCTCCCTGCCCCGAGTGCACAGGCCACACAGACCAAGGCCAAGACCAAGGCCAAGGCCAAGATGGCAGACTAACTCACGTGCACTTTGAGCTCTTGGAAGTTAAACATTACAGTGTGTGTACTATGGTATTGATTTTTCTTCTGTTCGGAAGTCAGACTAGCTAAGACTGGTTTTCTCAGCTGACCTGTCACCCAAAGATCCCCACGCTGCAGGAGCGCCCGCCGCCACACCACCGAGTGGGGACACCAGGGCTGTCCCCGCAGGACCGCAGGGACCCGCAGGCCCGGAGGGAGCGCACCTGGGCCTGGTCAGGAGGGCGCCCTGCGGGCCCCGCCCACAGCTGCCGAATCCAGAACTGGACTCGAGACCCGGCGGGGTCACTTTAACATTTCAGATAGTAGAGAATGTGAAACTCATGATGATCTTTATAATCATGAAATGCTGCTACAGGGACTAAGCGAATGTGAGGTTGTTCCTAGCATTATGTCATAACCTAAAATTGGCAGTAATCCAGATGTCTGTGAGCAGAATGGGTGGTTTTGTTCCATTCATGCAGGGGAATGCTACAGGCGTTGACCCCGAACACACCGCAGTATGGGCGGTGGGCGACCCCCCAGACAGCGTGCAGCCGAGGGCAGGCCCAGCCCAGAGGGGGCAGTTACAGATAACTGAACAGCTCCTTCCTGCACGGCAGGAAGGGGCCTCCTCTCAGGGCAGAACCGCCCACGCAGGCCCAGAACCCGGCGCCTTCGGGAAAAGATGCCCCTTTCCAGGCTGGCCCCGGGCCAGGGCGCACCACTGTCCCTGTGGAGTCAGGTCTCACCTGTCCCTGTGGCCGAGGTGCTCCGTGTGCCCCAAACGCAGAGCACACGAGTCACGGGTTCTGACGTCGCTTTGACCCTTCCCCTCTTCCGACAGGTGCCAAACAGAAGGAGCCGGACGCTGAATGACCGCGGGACGGGAGCGCCCTTACAGGACTTGAGCGAAGGCTCTGGGTCACGCTTTGCCTCACCCACACTGACCGCCACAGGAGAGAGCCAGAGGGCCGAGGACGGGTGTCAGGGCTTAGCGACGGCTGTTCTTTCCAGTGATGTTGCAACTAAGCGTTTTAAAAAAAAAAAAAAAGATTGTGTGTGTTTGAAGAGTCAGGCCCGCATCGTCAAGGCTGTCTGCGGGCCTCTGTCTGAAAGATTTCAAATGCCGTACGTCTAATTAAAGTGCGCTGTGTCCTGAAACGTTTATCACTTTTCTTTCCGAGAATCCATGGTATGGGGACAGGGAACGTGACAGACATAAGGCGAGCGTGTGGCATATTCAGACCTAGTGCCTTCTGTCAGGACAGCGACACGGCCCCGCTCCTGCCGGGGACCGCGTGTGCGTGTGCGAAACGACACGGCTGGCGTGTGCGAGTCTTTGAACCTTCACCAAACCAGTTTCTTTTTCGTTAGATTTGTCAAGCACTTGTACCCTGAGCATAAACGATGACTTTATAAGATTCTGAGGACAGTTTTGCGTTTAAGTGTTCCGGACTGTAGCGTGAGCGAGACTGCTGCACAAGAGCTTTATTTATTTTCCCTTTCCTGCGATTTTTGTACACGTCTTTCGGGGGTGAGCGTCACCGTGCCCGCGGATAAACCGCCGGGGGTGGGGGGTCATTTTCCACGGCAAGTGGCTCATCATTTAAGTCTGGGCCTGGCCAGGACAGGCGACGGCTCAGACAGCCGCCGGGTCTGCGGCGCCGGAGTTGGAAGGGCGGGCGGGCACGCAAACGCGCCCCGCCGGCCCGGAGGCAGGTGGCGGGTCCGAGGAGACCACCTGCCGGGAGGGAAGAGGCGAGTGTTTCCTTGTGTGTTGAAATGTTAACCCGTGCTGTCTGGGCGACCGCCAACGCAGTCGCTTCTGTAAATCTGCTGGTGGCAAATACAGTATTGTCACGGGAGTGAGAGAAACACGGCGTGTCCGAGTGTACGTGCTCCGGAAGTGTTCGCACTGTACATATGAGTATAGTTGTTTTGTTTTGGGGTTTGTTTGTTTTTTTTTTTTTTTTCAGATTGAAAAATTAAAATAAATCTTACTATCTACCATTTTGTGAAAGTAGTTCTTTACCATGTTTCATCATACATTTATTAAAATTTCATGTGCCGTGCCCCACTTAAACCATTCCTCCCCCAAAAAAGGAGAATGTGAATTCTCATTATCCTCCTTCCATCATCGAGCAGTTGCGGGGGGAACCTTAATGACTGGACTCCTCAACGTAACATCCCTCCATTGTTAAATAGAACGCGTCTAGTTTAACACGGCCAGGCGGACTTCCTTGTGCTCGGATGTCCGTTTTTTCATTCCTAGTCGGCCAGATACGAGAGCGCGCGTCACCCCATTGAAACAGCAGTGGTTGGGACTTAGGCCGGTGGACTGCTTGGGGGAAGGGGACAGAGTCACAAAGCTGCTGAAACCATGCAGTTTTGAAACAAAGCATCTTCTCGGCTGGCCCCTTGTCTGTGAAGCCACACAAGTGCCCAGGGGACAGGGCATGGGGTCGGGCTGTGTATCTGCTGCCCCCGAGAGAGTCTGGGTGAGGCCACTTGCAGAGAAATGTGTCCTCATTTTTTCCCTCCCCGAAGGGCGCCAGCACACACACATGCACGCACGTCCAGCACGCTCTGACCCTCCCTGAGAGGACCTCTGAAAGGCTCGGAGCCCTGTGGGTCCGTCACACACACCAGGGTTTGGAGCGGACCTGTGAGTGTTGCCCCGCCTGGCCCTTAGACGGCCACTCTCAAAGGCCCCTTGTCCTCTGCTGCTGTCGGGGTCCACATCTGTTCCCCAGGGGTCGGTGTGCTGCTCGGTGCCCTCCTGGGAACAAAGCACATGGCACATGAAGAAGTCCAAGTGAAAGGCTTCTAAGGGAAAGGCCTAACCAGGATGTCTAACCTTTGGCGTCTTCGGGCCCCACTGGAAGAAGAAGAGTTGTCTTGGGCCGCACATTAAATACACAAACACCAATGGAAAAAAAAGTCTCATAATGTTTCAAGTAAATGTATGGTTTTGGGTGGGGTTGCATCCAGAGCCACCCCAGGCCGCAGGTTGGACACCCCTGGAGATGGTTCGAGAGGGAAGCCCACCCCCTGGAGACCCTGGCTAAGCCTCAGGTGTTTTCTCGCCCTTCTCACCGTGATACCCACCGGGGCCTGTGGGCAGCGGGCTCACTGGGCACCCGTGGCGCCCCCAGCGGGGACTCTGGTGGCCCTCGCACCCAGGAGGAGCTGTGGGCATCTCAAAGGGCTGCTGTGAACAAACACGAGTGACGACCGAAACCCAGGAGCGTTCTGGAAACACCACGCCTGCCCCAGCGACGGAGGGCGTCCGTTCTGTGTTGTAGGCTGCTCTGGCTGAAAGAACATGTATCCAACTAATCTCACTTCTTAGAGTGTTTTTCTCTGAGACACATTTGCATGAGCAGTCCCCTTAACTGTTAACCAGGGGACATCTGACCCTGGGGGGCAGTTGTCACCCTTGGGGGCAGGAAGAGGGGCCTGGCCTCTTGGTGGGTGGAGGCTGAGGATGCCGCAAAACCACTCAAATGGCACAGCGGCCTCCCAACCAGTATCCAGCCGGAGGTACTTAATGTTGCAGTTAGGAACCTGCCCTAAACAATTAGAATGTTAAGGATATATTTCCACTTAACGTTTGTTACTTTCTAACTGACTGCACCCTTCTTGGGAGAAAAACTCAAGCCCGCAGATTTTCTGGAAAAAGCAACAGTGGACACATTCCCCCACAAATAAGTACAGTCTATCTGACCTTGGCCAGTTCCCTTCAAAGCGTTTCACCCGAGGGGGAACTCGCCTTTGCATAATGGCGCTCTCGGGAGAAAAGTCCTGCCCCTAGGGGGATACCCAGAAAGCGGATTTTACTCATTTTACTCTCACAAATCTGAAACACACTCCCTGTTTTTCACATAAAAGTCCCCACAGTGCTGGCACAGTTCTAAGTCCACGTGTAGATCACGCTCGAAGCACCGTCACGCGGAGCCGGTGAGATCCGTCTCCCGTGGACAGCCCGTCCTATTTCTTAACACAGGGTGTTACAGACCGGCCGACCGGTGCCGGCCTCCGCAAGGACGTGGAACGTCACCGCTCAGCCCCCAGAGCGTACCGAGGTTCCTTCCTGCGGGAAGGGCAGGAGAACAGCCGGCACCCAACTCTCTGTCCACTGCGCTTGAAGTGCTGCTCACCTCTCCCTACGAGGACCGCGACCCAGAATCTGAAAACCCGCGGAAACGCGGCTCCTCCCCACCCGCAAACCCGCAGCGCCATCCCGAGCCCGGATTCCGCTTGAGGCCACGGCCCTTAGAGGACCGGTCTCACAGCTGTGCCCGCTCGCCATTGTCAGGCACCTCCAACACCTCGCCCTCCCCCATGCAGTCCCGGGCCCTCGGCAGACAGCACAGCGGTCACCGCGAGGAGTCTGAGACCGCAGCCGAGCCCTGCCACACGCCACAGGCCCGAGGCCACCGTGCTTTGCAGCGCCCCCTGGCCCTGGTGAGAAAGGCCGCCTAAGCTGGCTCCCAGCCTAGCTCGCCATGTCCCCTCCCCGCCCTGCTCTGAGTTGAGCCCCGGGGGCCCGGGGGCAGTCAGGCCCCAGGCTGAGCACCCTGCAGCTTTGGACACGGCCCCAGCTTGCAAGACCGAGCGGGAACCTCGAACTTCGGCCCACGAAGCCTGGCAACTTCCGGGCGGGCACAGGGCCGGAGGGGGCGGGGCCAGAGCCGGCTTCCTGCTTCGCGCGCGCCCGGGAACCTGCGGGCCCACGTCTGCTCTGATTGATCCCCTGCGGGTGGGTACACGCATGCGCAGTCTGGAAACGCCTGGAGCGGGCATGGTCGCATTAACGCCCTCGTCTGCTGAGCCCCTCCAGGAAGGTAACAATGCCCTGTTCGTCTCCAAACTCACCCTGGAAGGTCTCTGGCACCTGGTTGGTGGAGGCCAGGACGACCAGGAGGATGATGGGGCTAGTGAGATGCTCGGGTCACACAAAGCTTTGCCCTCGGGATCGCCCCCTGATAAAATCAGGACGTGCAGGGTCGTCCGCAAATTCAGAGGCAGCCCCTCCTCCCAGCAGTCCAGGGCTCCCACCAGGAGGTGCTGACGGCGGGCTCTGAGGGCGAAGCTATTGCCCCCACCACAAAGCGCACTTCCTTATCAGGGAAGGGGACGGGAGTGCCCATGGGCCCCCAGGCAGCGCCAGGGTCAGGAGAGAGCTGCCCTCTTGTGAGGGGTGCCAGCGGGCCCAGCGGTCAAGAGCCCAGAGCAACTGGGACCTGGGAGGGAGCCCCCGGCCCTCCAGAGAGTGGGCAGTGCCAGTCAAAATCCCAGCAGGCTGTTTTGGCAGAAAGTGTCAAGCAGATTCTAGCATTTGAATGAAAATGTAGAGTGCGTAGATTATCCAGGGCTGTGAAAAAGAAAAGCAAGTCTGGAGGGAGAAAACTATCTGATTTCAAGATTGACTAGAAAGCCACGGTCATCAAGACAGTATATACTGTGGCTGTAAACACAGGCAAATACGTCCGTGGACCAGACACATGTCTAGAAACAGAGCCACCCCTACATGGGCGACTGAAGTTTGGCAAACACAAAGGCGGAGAAAGGAGAATCATTTCAGCATATGGCGCTGGAGCCACTGGACACCGGCAGGCCCTCAAATAGCATTTCCTTACAGCGCTGATGAGATTTAAAAAAAAAAAAAAAAGGATTCCGGGCCAAGGCCACTGTCTATGTGGAGTTGGCACACTTTTCTCGTGTCTGCGTGGGGTTTCCTGGGGACCCTGGTTCCCCCCACACCCCAACAATATGCAGTGAGGTGAACTTGAGTGTCTCCAGTGACCTCGTCTGAGTGTGGGTGTGAGTGGCCGCTACGACCCTGTCACTCACTGAGTCACCAAAACTTGGGTACGTTCTGCAGTTATCCTGTTTTTATTCATCTTTCTTAAATGTATGTGAGGCTCACGCTGACTTTAATGCTTAATATTAGAGGTGTTTTGGGTCTTTGTGTGTTTGCTTTGGTGATGTTTCTGTGACCAGAAATATGCCATAGGAACTTAACTCACGTTTATATCAATAAGTCACGGTAAGACTGAGTTCACTACATGTCAGTTTGCTTCAAGTCACACTTTCCAAGAACCTGTCGATGACACTGAGTGAGGACTTACTGTATCCACGTGCACAAAAGGACTTTGGTCCACACCTTTCACCGCACGCAAATATGGAAACAAAGCTCAACGGTTCTCAGAAGATACACAACCCAGAATTTTTATAACACACCCATAATGTCCACTGTAAAATAAAAATTACTAGATGTGAAAAGACACAAAAATATATGCCCTGTAGTCAAGAGAAAAGTCATCCACTAAAAGCAGACCCGTGAATGATCCCCATGTTACAATTAGTACAAAAAGATTTAAAACTAACCATAAGAATGTTGAAACACCTACAGAGAACATGAGTATATTGGGTAAAAACAGGAGAATTTAAGGAGATAGATGGAAACTGTAAAAGAACCAGATAGAAATCCTGAAAAATATGTTATCCAAAAAATTTTAAATCATTAAACCAGAAGGGGAAAACAGAGAAAAGAATAAACAAAGGCTTTTTTGGTAGAAAGCTACCAGACTGTCGGATATGTAAAACGGGAGTCCCAGAAGGAGTGGAGAAAGAAGATGGGCAGGAAAAATTCCTTAAAGAAGTATCGCTTGGGGAGTTTTCCAAACTGGATCAAAGCCACAAATCTAAGAAGGTCTGTAAACTTTAAACAGCATAAAAGCAGAGAAAATGACTCACAAACGCATCATAGTCAACTCTGAACACCAAATATAAGAAGAAAACCTTACGGCAGACAGGGCAGGGGATATAGCACATAAAGGAAATAATAACATAATAGCTGACTTCTCACCAGGAAAAGGCGGAGGCCAGAAGAAAATGGAACAACTGTTAAAGGACTGAAACACACTCTTACACACACACACACACGCATGCACACACATGCACCAAATGCACACACGTAAAACTGGTGCAACCTGA